GCGCGAAACGGCACACGGAACGGCCAAATCCGCCATCTCAAGCCGTTTTGATTAAAAGTTAGGTTAAGAATATCGGATCAAGGTGGGTGAGACACCGTTTCGAAGCTATGAGGAAGGGTTACAACTTTTATTTAGACATCTCAACCCAGATCTCAATAAGTATTGGTCAAAAATGCACAAAATAGTTCCAGCTATTTCATTTCGGGTTACCAAACAGGCCCTGTTTGAAAGACCGTAACTCACGGCTCAGAAATCGGAATCAAGAAATTCCAGAGGCGTTAGAAAGCAAAGACATAAGGCTATAACTTTCATGTTTGGACCAAAAGCTGAATCAATACAGAGCATGGAGGAAAACGGGTCCAAACATTCTTGTCAGAACTGTCCAATGCGCAGGCAGTTCTGACAATCGATCTTGTTTTGATCATAACTGAAGCTACGGAACTCGAATTTGGATGCACTTTATACCGTTTCGAAGTTGAGACCAAGATCTACATTTCTTATGAAGAGGTCAACATCCAGTTCGTAAGTTATCAAAATGGAAAAAACACGGTCAGAAGCTGAATCCAGAAACGTCACCAAAACCACAGTTTTGCATGACTATAAGTTTTTTAGTCATAACTCAGGATCTGCTAATCGGATTAGGCTGAAATTTTGCAGGAACAACAAGAACTTAAGAAGCTACAACTTTCATGTTTTGAGAAACTTCTGAATCAATACGTAGTATCAAGAAAAATGGAGCTTAAGTTCAGGTTCTGGACTACCCTGTTTGGGGTTTTGAACGGTTCCGCGCAACGCAAACGCATGGTTCGTTTTCATGGTTCTCTTGCAAGTTTTCTAACTACTTTCATACCAAAGAAACACATATGTACCAGCTTCAAAATGACCTACCAAAGGTCCGAAACTTCCATCTAAGACACTACCAAATTACCCAAAAACTAACCATGATCCTTAAACTAACTTTTTGCACCATTGAACTTATTCTAACCATCTACTAACCAAACCCTAACTCACTAAACATTAACCAAGCTGAACTAACTTAAGGAAACCTAGGGTTTCATCATCCAAATCAGTTTTTACCATTCACTCACCAAACCAATGAAACCAATCATCAAACACAACCATTACAATCTTCATAGCACAACATTAGAGCTAATTAACTTGTTTAGCATGAAACCCTAATTAGGGCTCCTATGGCCGAATCATCAAGGCCCAAATTTAACCAAATTACTCCATAAAAACAAGTGATAAACACAAGTGAAACCATAATCAATCACAACTAACAACTATTATCATCATTTCCCCCATTTCAAGTATCATCAACCACTTTTAACTTTGTATAAAAGCTTTCTTACCTCAAGATGAAGGTTGTATGATGGCTAATGAACTCAACCCAACTCCAAGATGGATTCTTTATGCTTCAAGATGAAGATCTATAGCAGAAATTTGGTTGAACTTTGCCAACTTCCCTTAGTTTTTTTTCCTCAAGGTGGCCGGCCCTCTCTCTCTCTTTTCTTTCTTATTTATTTTGTTTTTTTATGGAAATCCTATGATATATACAAGATGATCAAAGCCTTGAAAGATATTTCTATTTCCACCAATCACACAAAAGCTTCATTTTTGCTCTCAAGCCCCTACACCTTCAACTTTGCATTTGATCAACTCTTGCCCTTAAACATTTGATAATCTTTCAATTAACTCCATAGGTTATAACTTAATCATACTTAGGTAGAGGGCGAGGACGAATCCCTGAAAGGGAACACGAACATGAGCCAGATCGAGTAGCTACAGCCATCAGCCATCCGCTGGATGGCTGACCTGTTAGAACGTATGGTTGACCAATAGGGTCAGGGCCATAGGAATGCTATAGGAAACCCTGAAAATAATCCAGGCAATCACGAAGGAGAGGACCGTGCTTTAGAACGGTTCCAAAAATTTGCACCTCCAAAGTTTATAGGTGGGGCCGACCCTGACTTAGCGGAGGGTTGGTTGGACTGTATGTTAGATATATTTGCCGCACTTAGGTACTCGGAGGAGCGGCAGATATCTTTTGCCGTTTTTCAGTTTGAAGGGACCGCCCGAGCCTGGTGGAATGTGAACTTTGCCAACTTCCCTTAGTTTTTTTTCCTCAAGGTGGCCGGCCCTCTCTCTCTCTTTTCTTTCTTATTTATTTTGTTTTTTTATGGAAATCCTATGATATATACAAGATGGTCAAAGCCTTGAAAGATATTTCTATTTCCACCAATCACACAAAAGCTTCATTTTTGCTCTCAAGCCCCTACACCTTCAACTTTGCATTTGATCAACTCTTGCCCTTAAACATTTGATAATCTTTCAATTAACTCCATAGGTTATAACTTAATCTAATCTAAAACACTTAACCACACTTAATTACTTCACTAATCACCCTCCTATATTAATCACCTATACTTAATCATACTTAATCCCACATAAAAGCAATTAAACAACAACCTTTTGTCATGGGTAGTATTAAGGGTTTTAAACCCAACTTAAAATTCTAACAAATCATAACACTAGAAACTTTTCTAGTTTAGGGTTTTCTAACTTTTAAACTCACTTAACCTATATAAAATGGATCAAATCCTATACTTACCCGCACTAAAACACACACTAGCATAACTAACTTAATCACCACTTGAACTTATAATTAATACAAAAAAAATTAGGGTTTCAATCCTAACCCCAACTTAGGGTTTTCGAAGTAGTCCCAAAACCAAATGTTACCGCACAAATAATGACTATAACTCTAATATCAAACTTAAGAACAGACCGGGGTCTCACAGTTATTCTCTTAGTTTATGCCCCAAAAAACTAACAAAATGATATCAGAGCCTATATCTTAAATGCCTGAGTCTTTGTTTGGGAGTGAATGCGTTCGGTGAGAATCCTTTATAAGTTCAAAGTCACGACACGAAAGAACTTTTTGTCAAATGTTTCAACTTGTAGTGGTGAAACTTACCAAATTTGGGCCATTAAATTTTGAACTTATTTGATAGTCAATGATCTAGGAATATGGTGGAGACAAATTTTGTTTCACCAGTATTTGAAGAACCGATAGATACATAGATTAGAGACCACAGAGTTGCAGTTAGACAGAGATCTAAGGCCAGCTTTCACACATCATTTTTTGATGCTATTTTCACAAGGATAATGGCTTATGATTTGATTGAGAATAAACTATTCTCAATTAAAATGAAAAGAAAAAATTTCACTATGAATTGGTCGGATTTTGACAATTCTGAAGTGAAGCATGATGAAATCATGAATTCAGATCCTGAGAAAATTAAAGAGGAAATCATTGATAAGTCAGGTTTTGATGGTGATGACAAAATTTATAAAGAACCATGCAGAATTTCATATTTTTTGTATAATTTCAAATATTGTCGAAGCGTGTTCCACTTTGAACCTATGAAAAGATTATTTGGATACATAAAAAAACCATTTGACACAAGAAACCAAAAGAATCAGTTGTAGAGCTTCTTATAAAAGTCTTGTCCAACACAAGATCCAAAGATTTGAGAAGATAATCCAAAATCTGCAGCAAAAGTAGCAAGAAAGAGTGTTGAAATATGTCAACTTTTCCTATAGATTTTACTAGATTATGTTTGGTATCAGAAAAATTTAGTAAGTAGAAGAATAAGGATATTTGTTAACCAAAAAATCATATTGGTTTGTTAACAAATATTTTAGTTAAAATTTGCTAGATAGAAAATCACGTTATTAAGTAGTTTTTGTTGAGACTTTTAAAATAATTGTTAGTTTATTGCTTGTAACCAGTATAAATAGTGAGTCAATGAATGAATAATATAAGTTTATTTTCAGTTTTAATAAAAGTCTTTTATAAGTTTTTTTTGCAACGCTAAGGCGTTGTTTCTTAATTTATGCCCCAAAAAACCAACAAACTCGCTCAATTTATGAAGTTGGATTATAACAACATTAACAAGAACCACAGCTTGATGCTTCACAGATTGTTCGGTGCGAATACCAGGGCAACATCATCCCCCATGCACTTGTTACCGGTGCCTCTAGTAATTGGGAATCTAAATTCTCATATCATGTTCCTACCTTATAGACACTTCATGGTTCTTCAAATTGAAAGGTTTGCTAACGAATTTGATCCCATCTAAAATCTTTCTTGAGATAAAGGGTATTGTGGATGTAACATTCAATGCACGACCTGATGTTGGAAACTTGTCCGTGTACCTTAGAAGGTCTGATCCAACTATTTTCTCTGCTCTTCTGGACGGACGCTTTCGGGTTTGTCGCCTTCCTCTACGAAATCTTAACGGACAGCAGAAATCGAGACCGTCTCAATTTCAGGAAACGAAGTTTTGCTAGAAAGATTTAAAGGATGTCAAAGTTGTGAGCTTGAAGAGTACTGAAATAAATTTGCAACAGGAGCTTTTCGATTGGTCAAAGGCTTGGCCGAAGAGGAAGGGAACAGAGTGGCAGCCTGAGCTCTGGAGAAGGCTTTATCGAAGGCAAACTCTGACTGTGGTAATGCTAGAAGATTAATTCACTTCAATTTAGAATGGCGACGACCCCTTTGCAGCGGGGAAGTCATGCTATAAAGAGATAATATCAGCCATGCATGAGTGATGAGACCAAGAAAGTTACTTCTGAGTACTGGTGATGCCGGCACCAGGAATTTCAAAGATTTCTCAAGGTTCTATTTTGTTTTGCTTCCTTTTGTATATCATCAATTCTCTGGCTTGCAGCTTTCGCTTAATGTAGTCATTAGAAAGATCTCCACCGTTTTTAATGTACAGATAGACATCTGATTCATGAAGGGGCATTAGCCATTAAGTCAAGGTGACAATAAGTTAAACTAAGAAGTTTAGCCAATGCAGAAATTTTGGTAAATGCAGCCTGGTTCTTTTGTTGTAAGCATCATTATCATGTCATTTTTGCTATCAGCCTATTACAGCAATTACATGTCCAATCCCTTTTCCTCTATAGTCTATACCTTTTGGTAGTGGGCTTCATTTCACCCTTCCAAAATCTTCCATAAAAGCTAAACTCGAGATTCTAAATTGCCTCTTAAGCTCAGCAGGCCATATGGTCTGATTCACTGTGTACTTTGAATTCGCCCTCTTGCTCGGGGTGAAGGCTGCCTCAGTTAGTTGACGGTGAACCGGCAGAAGCACCTGTAACTGTACCTGTTGGATAATTTAATAAAAAATATCACGTGTTTATTTTCAATTCAAACTCAATAAATTACAAATTATTCAATGAATTTTCAGCTACATATAAAACCATTCAAAAGTATAACTTATGTCTTTAAAATGAGATTTATGTCTTGAATTGTATAACTTATGTAATGATTAGGTTTATGAATTTATTTAGTGAATTTTTTACCATTATACAATGAACCTAAACTTTGAAATTTGAGGTGTTTATTTCTCTTAATATTGGTATTTTAATACTTCTAATTTCTTAGTTTATAAATAGAGGCATCTATCAACCAAATCTGATACATACTTTGCCATCTGTAGACTATTTTCTACTTTTTCTTCCTCTCTCTACTATTAGAGTTTATAGGGCAAAGAACAGTGTTGTGTGAGGTTTCTGTCTTACTTCAATAGTGTAAATTGAAGTAGACTACAGTGACGAAAAGTTTGGACTGTTGTATCCTTGAGACGACATGTGCTGAGACCTATTACATCGGAGGATACTCTGTAGGAGCGCAAATCATCTTAAAGAAAGCGACCTAATTCATGCCTCAACCCACACCAAATTAACTTTTTACGGTACAAATTATTTGCATTTTTTACTGCAATATTGAAGTATGAGATTTTTGTTAATATCATTGTTAAATTTGATTAGAGAAATTCCTGTTACTTATATGATTTATTTTGGTCAAGAACCAACAGTGCCTGCTGAAAATGGCCAAGCAGTTAGTGCGTACTCATACTCGGCACCAACTAACACACCATTGCTCTGAGTTTCACCGGCTGGATCTGCAAAACTTTCTTTCTAATTTACAGAGTAGATCAGTAGTATGCTTTAAACGTCAATTCGAAGATGCTTGTCTATGATAAGCAAATGACTCCAACTAAGGTGAGGATAAGAAATAAGAATACAAGTAATTAATAGTAATAAGTTACAACTTATTTACAAAATGTTACATCTGAATTGAGAACAAGCCCTTTTGTCTCCATTTCTTGAAGTAGACAGTCCAAACATTAGCAGAGCCCTTGCCTGCCAGTGAGTATTGAAGTCGTGCAAGAAACTTTTGAGGATATTTATTCCAAGGATATTACTATTATGTATCTATAAATTTTTACAGAAACACCTACGGGTATAATGACATCGGCTAATTTTTGCAGCAATCCCTGCATCCTTATGCGTTTTGATATTAGAGAGAACAGATTATGTATCCCATGTGGACTTGAAGTGCCCTGTTGAGACACCATTCCACAGACAGCAATCCGGCCTTGGATTCTCATGTTGAGAAGCACAGCATCGAGCATTGCTCCACCGACATTCTCAAAGTAGATATCAATTCCTTCTGGAAAGAATCTGCTAAGTAGAACAAGAAAAGAGGTTCCTAATTGAGGACTGAAGCCTTCAAGGTGAGATAATTGAGTTTGGTTGATGATCCTTAAATTGACACTTTTTATATATGACCGACCTTTTTAAAGCTGCATTAAGGTCTTCTTCCTCTTTGTAGTTGAATGCATCATCAAATCCAAGCTTATTTCTCAAGAGATCAACCTAATAGATGTATGCAACCGATTGGTGCCGACACAAAAGGTAAATCGCCAATCAGCATGATAGATGCACAAGCTATGTCAAGTGCTCTAGACTACACACATAATATATATATGATCCAAAAATATTGGACTTACTTTCTGACTTGTTCCGGCACTTCCAACAACATAGCAACCATGCAACTTTGCAAGCTGGCCAACAACCTGACCAACAGCTCCTGAGGCAGCAGAGAAAAAGACATTATCTCCCCTTTTAGGAGCACAAACCTCGTACCATCCAGCATAAGCAGTAAAACCCGGCATACCTGCATAAGATATGTAGCTTTGTAACTAATTGATGGAAAAAAAAAATAGCCACGGTTTCGTGCTTGAGCTGATACTGTAAGAGAACAGGATATGTCAAGCAACGTTGTCATCAAGTATTAATTTCAGAGAAAAGAAAAAGTAACCAGATAGCAGGCATACAACAAAGTAAAAGATCTTTAATTACTTGTAACACATGCTTAAACAACAAGGAGCCCCACATGGTACGAGAGGGGGATATCATCATCTGGCTCAATCTTTCTCAACTGCTCAGTCTTGTGAATTAAGCTGTATTCTTCCCAACCTGTAAATCCTGAGAGCAGGTCGCCAGGTTTAAGATCTGGATTATCAGAATCCAGAACTTTGGACACACCAAATCCTTCAATGGCCTATAACATATTCCAATAAGTCAAGCTTTACTGCAGGAGGGGAGGGGCGGTGCATGAACACAAAATGATGTCAAATGCAACAAATTCATAATTAGCAGGATATCCAGTACCTAGTATCTCTCTCCCGAACAAATTAATATGACCACTGAAGTCAAATTGAGCTCAAGAAATAATCACACGTGATTACTTAAGGAGAATAGAGTATTGATCAAAGTAGCTTAACAATAATCAACTGCAGAATATCAGCTTAATCATTCCAACACATAGATGCAATCTGCAACTTTTGTAGTAACTTAAAAGTGAGATGGGCTCAAGCATTTGACGTTGACGTCTTTGACAACAAGTACACTGGTGAAGTCCAAAGTTTCGAGCCATTTTCAAAACAGCATAGCCCTTTAAAAGCTTTCTAGCTGCATGCATGACTTTACCGCACTAGTTAAAATCGCATAAAACCTCCTCGATCCCGTGATGAAAGTAAAAGTAGAACAAAACCAATTAGTATACGATCAGCAAGGATAAAATGAAAGCAAATTAAAAATAGGAGGTTTATATGGTAATGCAAGTACTGACTGAACCGGGGATGAAAGCAGGAAGGTAAGAGACATGGAAGCTGCGCATGCGGCCACGCATGTAAGGATCACAAGACAGGTACAGATTCTTGACCAAGATTGCACCTGACCATTTTGGAGCTTCAAGCTTGATCATGTTTTCGACCTTCAGTTCCATGTCTGTTTCTTCGGGAGGTCGTTCTATGTATCCCTTGAATATGACTTGATTCCTCACCATCTTTCCCCGCATCTCTTGCATTTCCATACCCCCCCCCCCCCCAAATTTTCTTCTTTTAGGATTTTGTGCTGGTTTACTACGATGCTTCTCCGAAACCTCAATGAAATTTATAGGCGGACGTAGGAACCAGCAGAAGGCCTGTTGTCCGCTGTGTTTTTGAGAACCGGACCGGACCGGACCGGCAGTTTCGATTGGCCAACCACAAATCAGCCTTGCCTCTAATCTGGTTCAATAGTTAACTCAAAAATTCAATTAAACAAGTCAAATTTGATTATAGATGGCCTTCCACCATAAACAAAAAATGAAAAAAGAAAATTGAGAGCTAATCTATGAGGGCCGAATAGATCAGAGATATTTGCCAGATTAGTATTTTTTGCTCCGTTTTATGAATTCTCATTTGTATATGACTAGTGTCGTACTGTACAGAACATTAGAGTAATATGATGTAACATGAAATAGAAAAATAAAAAAAAAACAGCTACTATTTGGATTTTACGTGGCACTAAATATGGGGAAACAAATTTAAAAGATTAAAGTAATTTTTAATCTTGATATCTGTTAAATTTTCCGCTAAGAATTAAATGATTGATTAGTAAAATTTTTATTAGTGTTATGTATCCTCTCTCTATATGTATATATATCCTTTATATATATAAGAAGCACTTGCCGCTTGTACTGTTGAGCAAAACTGTACTTCTTGTCATTGTACTTTCCCGTGCATGGTTCTGCTTGTACGGAATGTACCTGGCAGCTGTGGTTGTATATCTTGTGACAGCTACTGTCCACACGCGAAGAGTAAATATATTCCAAGCATAAAAATCCAACAACAACTTTGAGCACACGTGAATATTCTGTCTTGATCGTGGAATATCATGGAGAAATAGTAATCTTTGTTATCAAAGAATTTCTTGCGCATCGCGCTCCGGGATACCGATCGACTAGTGTGTGTGTATATAGATATATGTGTGTGTATATGTATATGTAAAGAAGTTATTTTGTTTACTCTTAGGAGATTTTCATCTACCATCTTTAGGGGCAATTTTACAAGGAGAATGATGGAATACCATTCATTTTGTTAGCTGTACAATGCTATGATGTAGACTCTCCAATGGTTTGACTATTATTATACCCTTTCTATGTAGTAATTGGTTTGCATTACAAGCGGTAAGCAGATTGTTAAATGCTGCTTATGAGTGAAAAGTGACCTGTTTACCCTCCAAAGTAGCTGCTAAGTGTACAATCAAAACAGAAAGCCACTTCATTCTATTGCAAACTACTGGCAACCTTGAGAAAAGCAATTTAACTCCTCCAATGGTTGTGGGACTGATTAAAATCAGCAATTGAAGTGGGATTAAGGCAACGTTAAAGCGTGAGAGGTGAAAAATCATTCGATAGCATGTTGCATGCGTAAGGGCAGAAATTTTCGTCTCGTTTTTCCTCAGATCAGCAGTTGAGCTCCTCCAAAGAATGGAAATGATTAAAATCAGTAATTGAAACGCATTTAAGACTACATTAAAGCGTGAGTGGTGAAGAATCATCATTTGGAGAGAGCACATTACAAATGCAACTGCAGAACCTTCCACCTTCTTCAGCATTTGATGATCAGTTTTTAGAGTTAGCTACAATAATGGCCATTGTTGGTTTAGGTGCTTATGTTTCACATTATCAGACTGGTGTTTGTAGAGGTTTGTTTATTTGCTTTCTTCTTTCTGCACTTTTCCGTGTATAGCTTCCACAATAGGTACTCCTAATCAGCCTTTGTATAATTTGTTCATTAGCTACTGCCTGAATGTTTGTCAGATTGTTCTTAGATTTTGTAACACTACTTTAAATTTCCATATTTGTTATGCATTACTAAGAGAGTTTAGATGGATGAGGCTGATTATGTTTGGCTTGAAATGCAGAGGGAAGATTTCAGAAAATTGTTGATGTAGGCAAATCCTCTTCATAAGTGTCTATGGATGGTATGAACGCCCCAATTTACTTAATTATTATGTTTTAAACTTGAAGAGCACATTGTTTATTTTGGTTTTTGGTGACATGAATATTTGATGATCTAATTATTCATGTTGTCAAAGAGGGTGGTGAGAAATGCAGGTCTGAAACTAAAGAATTGAGGGCACCTTTGATACGCTTGAGTTTATTGTCTATTATAGTTTATCAATTTCAAATGCTTTGGCAAGCTTAGTTGGACGAAGTTCTAGAATTCAAAGCAGAAAAAAGGAAAAGTCTTGAAATTTAATGATGATGGTGCTGAAAATGAAGATGTCAATGTTTGGCTTTGCAAAAGCCAAACATTGGTAAAGAGTTGTGCTCACTATATTTAACTGTTCTGTCCTTATTAATTTTTAGTTTTCCTAATAGTATAATTCTAACTTGTTTTGCTTTTTCAAGGTGAAGAAGATTTAGCTAGTAAAAAAAGTCAAGGAACATATTGTAATTTACGTTAGTTTTGTTGTGGTACCATTTAATTATTTTTTGACAAAATTTTAGTGTCTTAATTACCAAGCAATAATGGAGTGTAATCTCCCAAAGGGAAAAATAAGAAGCGGTTATTGAGAAGTTCTATTATTAAAGGCAAAGCTGTAGAATATGTATACAATGATAGATTCCAACTCTTTACCATATTACTAGGCTTGGTGCCGCGCGGCGTTCCGCGGGGTGCCTATTATTAACTGTCTTAGGCTAATGTAAAATTTATTTAATAACATAAATTTAGAGTATTTTATATGATAATGGAATTGGAATAGTGGATAGAGAAGTGATATATTGGATTGATTTATTTATAAATAGATATAGTAAAATTGATATGATTTGTATTGTGTTTTTTAAAATTAGTATGATCTAAAGATTTCATGGATAATATTGGTTTCAAAAAATTTTGTTTTTTATTTTTAATTTAGTGATAAGTAAATATTATTTAAATTAATGGAATATATATTAAATTTTTAAAGTTCATAGGATGGAAAAATAGGTGGAGAATTACATTGAGAGTGTTATAATTTATTGTACTTTGGGCATAGGTAGTTTATGTATTTTAGGATGATGATATTTTCATAATTTGGATAGCTAGGATGAAAAAGTGTGCATTGTTGCAGTGGAAAAGTCTATGGAAAGGATATAAAAGAATAGAAAGTTTGTTAAAAAATAAATGGATAATAGTTTTTTTTGGCCAAATTTGATATAGTTTGGGTGTTGTGTGATGAGATAAATTAATAATTTGGAATAATTTGATACTATATCTTGGTAAAATATGTGTTTATTCATTAAGTAGGTTTTTTCTATAAGTAAAGATGATATTGATTTAATTATGAATGAATGTGATTGAAATATATGGAAGCTGTATTTTTTTAATTAATAGAATCTAAATAGGTAAAGGATAATATTAATTTTGAGAGCTAAGAGATTTTATATTAATAGTTTAGTAATAAATGGATATTATTGAAAGTAAGGTGATGTGTATAAATTTTTTTTTTATAAGAAATAGAAATGATTGCACATAAAAATTATAGAGTCTAATCATTGTAATTTATAGTAGAATTTTTAAATATTTATTGTTTGATGTTTATGCGACTTATTTTATGGTACTCAAAGTTGTAGTGAATTTTGTATTAATATATATATATATAGGTATACGATATATTTTGTAATATGTGTGCATATATATATATATATATATATATATATATATATATGCGCGTGTGTGTTTAGTATTTTATTTAGGAGATATGATGGTTTAATTTTTTATCGTTTATATTTTTTGTGGTTTTGTTTGTTTGTTATATTTTTATTATTCATTTATTTATATATGTGTATATATATGTGTGTGTGTGTGTGTATATATATTTAATATTTTATTTGAGTTTGTATGATTGTTTAATATTGTTTTAGCGTGTCTATCTTTTATAGTTTTGTTTGTTTGTTATATTTGTGGTGTTCCTATTTGTCTTGTGATTCATGTGTCAATATGATAATTTTTTTTTTTGAGTTGCATCATGTATATTTTTGCTATATATATAGGGGTGTGGTTTTAAGTATTTGTGTATAAATTTCTGGTAGTTTGGTTATCTTTGCTATAGTTTTAGAGAAAAGTTTGTCTTTTTTATTTTGGTTTTCAGTGGTATATTTTTTAATTTTGAAAATTTTGAAATATTATTGAAGTAACATTTTTGAAATAGAGGGAAATTATCCTGTATTTTTTAAAACAATTAGTTGAATTAATGCAAGCAAATACAAAGCGGCACAATTGATTTATATTTATTAGATGCACACAAAATTTAATATTTGCATTAAATTTTTGAAAATTAATAAGATTCCAAAATCTAAAGATAACACAATTTCGAAGAGTCTGTTATTTCATTGATATCGAAAATTAATAATGCTTGATTGAATAGCATACATGAATAAATATCTATTTAATGATGAAGTAATTTATTTATTGATTAATCAATATCTTACTTTAAATCAACGAATAGCACATGGACTTATGCATAAGGGAAATTTAAATTACAATTAGCTGACTCGAATAACACTCATTATCTGTTAATATGAAGTAGCATAGCGTAACACAAAGAATTTGTATTGTTCTATATATATTAGATGCACATAGAATTTTTATCGATTCACATATTTTTTAGAAAATCAATATCTTTGTTAATATATATATTTTGGGAAAAGTTAATAAATATAAAAGAGCAGAGGGAATTATATTTTGAAGAAAGACACGTTAATGCAAAGTTAGGAAATTGAGATTTTTGTGAGAATTATATTTTGAAAGGAAGTTATATGTTGAAGGAAGTTAATAAATGAAATTGATAAATTAATATTTTTGTTAATAAAGTCAGATAACAATTGCAGCAGTGGGGCTAATTGATTAGAATATAGGTGTAAAAAAGAAAAGTCAGACACTTACGGATCTGATAGAGCGTGTGTATAAAACTATGGGTGCCGGGCTGTCTCAGCTCGGCACCTGACAGAAACCTTTTTTTTTTTTTAAACATGTCAGGTGCCGGACAGCCCGG